AGGGGCCCCCCTGCCCGTCAGACCCGCCGCCAACACCTTCACCACGGTGATCCCGGCCACGCTGACCCTGCGCAGCACCGTGCCCCAGGCCCAGGCCCCGCAGCAGAGTAAGTCCTGCCCCTCCAGAACCCCCCTCCCTGGGCTGGACAGCCCTTTCCAGGCAGGTCCAGTCTGAACCTGCCCTTCCCTCTGCTCCTGCTGCTGCTCCCCATTAACAGCTTAATGTGTGGGGCTTAGTTAGCTCTAGATTCAGTTTAAGGAGGATTAGCAGTACTAGGTACAGTTTAATGTGTGGAGCTTAATTAGTTCTAGATACAGTTTAATATGTGGAGCTTAATTAGTTTTAGATACAGTTTAATATATGGGGCTTAATTAGTTCTAGATACAGTTTAATATGTGGAGCTTCATTAGTTCTAGATACAGTTTAAGGTGTGGAGCTTAATTAGTTCTAGGTACAGTTTAAGGTGTGGAGCTTAGTTAGTTCTAGATACAGTTTAATATATGGGGCTTAATTAGTTCTAGATACAGTTTAATATATGGGGCTTAATTAGTTCTAGATACAGTTTAATATATGGGGCTTTAGTGGTTCTAGATTCAGTTTAAGGAGGATTAGCAGTTCTAGATACAGTTTAATGTGTGGAGCTTAATTAGTTCCAGATACAGTTTAAGCACAGCCTGGCCTGGCTCCCACGTCCTGCCAGGGGCTGTAGGGACTGAGAAGGTCCCCCCTGAGCCTCCCCATTCCCAGTGGGATAATCCCAGCTCAGCCAGCTCCGGGGAAGGCTCAGAGGGGTGGGGGTTCCCAGCGGATTCCCGGCTGGAATTGTGTTGTCCCTCCCTCCCAGTGAGCATCGCCAGCTTCGTGACCGTGAAGAGGCCCGGGGTGACGGGGGAGAACAGCAACGAGGTGGCCAAGCTGGTGAACACCCTCAACACTGTCCCCTCCCTGGGGCAGAGCCCCGGCCCCCTCGTGGTGTCCAACAGCAGCCCCGGGTCCCAGAGGTCCAGCGTGTCGGAATCCTCGTCCTCCTCCTCCTCCCTCAAAGGTAACGGGCGGCCCCTCCCAAAGAAAACCCCTTCCAGAGGGGGTGGGAGCCCAAAATCGAGGGGCATTGCAGGGCATTGGGAATCCAAGCTGGGTTTAAAGGACATTTCATGGCCTTGGGAGCCAAAAGGTGATTTAAAGGACATTTCATGGCCTTGGGAGCCCAAACTGGGTTTAAAGGACATTTCATGGCCTTGGGAGCCCAAACTGGGTTTAAAGGACATTTGATGGCCTTGGGAGCCCAAACTGG